AACAGTTCATTTTTCATAAAATTGCATTAAAAGCAACAACTTTTGGTTATTAATTTTTTTCTAAATAGCAAATACTTGAACTACCTAATTAGCTCCTATTTTTCTGCTTCCCTTTGTTCACTATTATCCACAACTAAGAGTTTCGACGTATGTTATAGTTGTGTGTAACAAAAATTTAAGCTTTAAAAAAACTAAATTATGTCAATTATTATGTATCAGATAAAAGTTGTTGCTCTTGATGACTTAAATGTATGATTGACATTTTAGCATTTATTTCTAGGACACTCTGTAGATAAAGTAGCATTTTGTGCTCGAGAACGAATACATTTTTTATTCAATTTCAATATACAGGGTGTTCCATTTAACTTAACAAAGTTAACATACGTGGCCATTTTGTTTGGACTGCATTTGTTTTTCTACTATCATTTTCGAATAATTCATAAAAAATCGTGCAACTTTTATATTTAACATTTTTTTATAACTCTCAAAACAAAAAAGTTAAAGGGGGTTAAAATATAGTGAATCACCCTGTAAAATTTACTTTAGAAAAAAATACTTATTAATTAAATTATTACACGTAGCTGTAATACAGTGTAGGAAAGTACCGATGGTCTATCAGAAGTTATGTGAGAGCGATAAAGTAAGCCATAGAAATCCATGTGATAGACAAGGATGGCTATAATGAAGGCGTCTAATAGTTAACGCCCATTTCGCCCTTCCACAAACAAGAAGTGAATCTTATTTGTGGAAGGGCGAAAGAGGCGGTGACTATGAGACGCCTTCATTATAGCCATCTTTCTCTATCGCATGGATTTCTATGGCTTACTTTATCGCTCTCACGTAACTTCAGATAGACCATCGGTACTTTCCTACCCTGTATAATCGCAACTCATTAGGAAACAGAAATTGTTTCGTGATAATTGATATATTCGTTCAAAGATAACAATTAGTAATGGATATTGTTCACATTAAAAAAATGCTAATGCCCCGCTTTTAAGTATGTTGTTGTCTTTCTGGTGTAAATTATTATCAGTCAAAAAAGACAGTTTAATTTATATATTTTAATTTAACTCGATGCTAGTTTGTTCAAGCCAGGATGTTCTCCCAGAGATAGACACGCCTTTGGGCAGAGTTCGGGGATATTGGAAGACAATAGAAGGCATAACTTATGCTGCTTTTGAGGGAATCCCGTACGCAAAACCACCAGTGGGAGATCTGAGGTTCGAGGTAAGTCAAAATACTTTCATCTATGACTTACATTCATTGTTACTTTTATTTATCATCCGCTTTTCAATTATTCCTCAAATGCAGCGTGATCTCCTGAGTTTGGAATGTATGGAGAAGTTTGCGAGTGCCACAAGGCTCCGTCCTGGGGCCTTTACTTTTCAGTATATGTACTGCGGACTTTGTGTCGTCAGTAGTGCACACTACTTTGCACATGTATGCAGATGCTGTTGATCTTATTAATACTGACTTGCATCGAATGCGATAAAAATGCTGTAATGCCTAACCCAAATAAATGTAAAAACCTGGTTATCGGTACTTATCAAAAAACTAGACAGTTGGGGGATTTTGATGTTTATATTGACAATTGTCCTTTGGAAAAGTGTAGTTCAGTAAAGAATCTGGGTCTTGTATTTGAAAATGACCTGAATTTCTCACAACATGTTAGTGAATTATGTAAGAAGGAGTTCATCTCATGATCGTCAGCTTCGTAATTGACATGATTTGCAAATAATGCGTCGTCGAACTGAGTATTTTAGATGTTCATTTACCTATTTAGTAGCTATGGTATTAAATAATGTACTGGACCCTAACACCCCGTAATGCACCTCTGATTAAGAAAGGCATTCGTGAATTGGTCATGGAAAACGATAACTCCACAAATGCTGCTGTTTTTTAGTTTTAGTTTTTTAGTTTTTGACTTGTATTAATATAATATGCGTGTGTGTATGGGTGTTGTGTATGTATATTTATAAGTCATTTTGTTTTTTTACACTGTTTTAATAACACTTCATAATCATATTGTAACTATGCACAATAAATATTTTTTACCTTTACCTTTGTATTAAATGTCGAAATTAACAGTCATTGCTTCTTTACGTATTTGTAGGAACCTGAACCCATTCCAGCTTGGTCAGGAACTTGGGTGGCCAACGCTCCTCATACATGTTCCCAAGGTCCTGTTCTTTCCACTCTTGAAGAAATATCTGGTCAGTATAAAACACCAAGTAACTTGAAACCTAATTACGCTTGTCTCAAAGTGCGAAGAAATATTATTTTTATATGCCTTTTAAGCATTTACTTCTTACGAAAGTGTATGTATTTTTTCTTAGGAAACGAAGACTGCCTCTACTTAAACGTGTATATCCCAGAAGATTCCGTGGAGAACCCCAAGCCCCTTGACGTTATAGTTTCAATCCACGGAGGTGCCTTTATGGGCGGCAGCGGCAGCGCGGATTTGAATACGTTCCTAGACAAGGAGGTCGTGCTTGTATCTATCAATTACCGTGTTGGTATTCTAGGTACGTTGCTTCTTTAACATTGTCTTCCCATGTCAGTATTTATTCAATTAACGTTACAGGATTCCTTAGCACGGAAGATGACGCCATACCCGGAAACAACGGCCTGAAGGACCAAGTCTTAGCACTCAAGTGGGTCCGGGACAACATCGCTTCGTTTGGGGGAAACCCCGACTCCGTTACCATAGTGGGCTTTTCAGCGGGAGGCGCCAGCGTCCACTTCCACTACTTCTCACCCCTCTCTAAAGGTTTATTCATCAGAGGGGTGTCTCAAAGCGGTACAGCTATAGCACCGTCGGCAACGAAGAAAAATGCTTTGCAACGCGCTAAGAAGCTTGCTGTGTTGTTGGGCTGTCCTGACAGCCCCTCGGAAGAACTGAAGAAGTGCCTTAAGCAGAGACCTGTACAAGATATACTAAATCAGTTGAAATATTTCTATGGTTTCGACCTTTTGCCATTCGCGCCTTTTGCGCCGGTGGTGGAAAAAGGATCAACGAACGCTTTTCTAGACGCGGAACCTTACCAGCTTTTGAAGGAAGGTAAAGTCCACGATGTGCCTTGGATAACCTCCTTCACTACCGGTGAAGGATTGCTTCTTACAGGACGTGAGTCTCCTTCCTTTCTTTTTCTTATACCCTGCAATGATTTGGCAATGCAAAACTGTTTAAAGTAATTCATATTATATAATTATCCAGTTCTTTGGCAAAAGTTGGAAGAGGTAGA